CTCCTTCAGGTATACTGGGCCAAATCCGTTTAGGGCTCGGAATTGTGCTCGGAAACGTACTGGGAGCCAATGTAGGTCTTTCAGGACTGGTGTTATGTGGTCTTGGCAGCCACTCCCAGTCACCAGTCTAGCTGCTGCATTCTGGATTAGTTGTAGTTTCCAAGTCACCTTCAAAGGTAGCCCCACGTAGAGTCCATTGCAGTAGTCCAAGCAGGAGATAACTAGAGTGTTCACCACCCTGGCAAGGCAGTCCATGGGCAGGTAGGGTCTCAGCCTGTGTACCAGATGGAAATGGTAGACAGCTGCTCTGGACACAGAATTGGCTTGTGCCTCCATGGACTGCTGTGAGTCCAAAATTACTCCCAGGCTGCGCACCTGGTCCTTTGGGGGCACAGTTACCCCATTCAGGACCAGGGAGTCCGCCACACCTGCCTGCCCCCTGTCCCCCCAAAACAGTACTTCTGTCTTGTCAGGATTCAACTTCAATCTGTTAGCTGCCATCCATCCATCAACCGCCTCCAGTCACTCACACAGAACCTTCACCGCCTTCACTGGTTCTGATTTAAAAGAGAGGTAGACCTGGGTATCCTCCACATACTGATGAACACCCAGGCCAAACCCCTGATGATCTACAAGTCTACAAGTCAGGAAGAACAATTTCTAAGGCTGATGCCCTGAGCCATCTGCCATTATGGAAACCAGATTGTGATGTGCTACCTCCAATGGAAGTTTTGATGTTGGAAGCCCTTCCATGTGCACCTCTGCAACCTGATCAAGCTGCAGTAGTAACTTCTTCAGATCTTCTAGTACTTCGTGTCTTTCTGGGGGTGGTGTGGGTGGTCAGTTGTCTGATGAATTCAAGTTATTCACTAGCCACCAACATGAGCTGTCTGCTCATAAAGGATGTATTTTATGGATAAACCATGTTGTTATCCTAGAATGTAATTGTCAAACCATCTTGCCCACACTTTGTGCAGCATATGCATGAATCATATGCATGAAAGCATTGGATAATAGCTATGTCTGGTGACCTGGAATTGACTCTAACTTTGTAAAGATTGTCAATGAGTGCAGCACATGCCAGGCTACTTGGCATAACCTACCAAAGACATCAATGTTCCCATGAGATGGTCAAGACAATATTGATTTTGCAGGACCATTTCAAGGGACTAACTTCTTGACTGTGGTGAACTCCTTCTCAAAAAGGCTTGAAGGGCTCTTAGTCCCATCTCAAACATCTGCTGCAACCATCACAACCTTGCAACAATTATTTGCAACACATGGATTGCCAGATGCTGTAGCCTCTGACAATGGGTCTGTGTTCATATCAATGAAGTTCAGTGAATTTGTGGACCACCTTATCCAAGCTGTCGCCATTGCACCTCATTATCCTCAAGCAAATGGCCAAGTTCAATGGATGATGCAGATAACAAAGGACGCTGTGAAGTGGATTGTCCAGAGTATAGATGGACTGGTGTGGCATCACCATGTTTATCAGTTGAGTAGGCGTTCTTCTCCATGGATGGAATGTATATTCTTACTCTTCAAGGTTGGGAATTGCACCATTTCCTCCACCCACATTTGCCTCTGGCCGCAATCACTTCTGGCATTCACCCCCACCCCACCCCAGAGATTGACCATAAGAGATTGTCGCCGACCCATGGCTTGAAAAAGTTTCCTCATCCCTACTCTAGAGTGGAGAATAGAGGAGAAAAGGAGGCTGCTCTTTGGCACAGGCGCTTTAGCAAAGGAGTGAGCAGGGACAGTGTGTGCTTGTTCACTCCCTTTGCGCAGCAGTGCTTGCTCCACCCAGAGGAAGACAGGAGGGGACTGACTGAGCAGGGGGTTCACAGTAGCAGCAGCAGCAAGGGACAAGTTACCACTTCTCTGCCAGAAGAGAGACTGGGAGCTGGCAAGCCAGCAGAGGTTGCTACAGGGGCCAGTGCCACCTCTTCTTCCTTGCCCCTCTATGTTGTCTCTCCCTCCTTCCTTCCCTCTCTCTCCCTCTCTCTGGGTCCCAGTGCAGTGCCCAACACTGCTCACCTGCTCGCTCCTTGCCCTATACGCACCTGCCCAAAGGAAGAGCAGGTGACAATCAAGCAAAGATGTCTATCCCTTGCTGCCACTTGATTGCAGTAGGTGAGTGAGGAAGAGTGGCACTTGTGGCACCTCCCTGACATGATGGGCAGCAGCTGAAAAAGAGGTGGTTCTGCCAGTGTGGGATAGTTTTTAGGGCACTGGCTTTCAGCTGGTGGGTTGGGACTTCCTGCAGGGTCACGGCCTGAACTACGATGAGTCACAACAGCAGTGCTACCAGCATACAGATATATGGTAGGGAAAAAATTGATCCCTAAATGCATGTTTGGGTTGAAGGTAGATCGTGGGTCTGAAAAGACTTCTGGGTTAGAATGTTGGACTAGGCTCCAGGAAGCTAAGGTTCAGATCCTTGCCCAGCCATGAAGTGGGGCCCTCATTGATTCATAATTTTATTTGTTTCATAGAATGTACAGGTGAAACTCAGAAAATTAGAATAGCATGGAAAAGTTCATTTATTTCAGTAATTCAACTTAAAAGGTGAAGCTAATATATGAGATAGACTCATGACATGCAAAGCGAGATATGTCAAGCCTTTATTTGTTATAATTGTGATGATCATGGCGTACAGCTGATGAAAACCCCAAATTAACAATCTCAGAAAATTAGAATATTAAATGAAATCAGCAAAACAAGGACTGCAAATAGAGCAATATTGGACCTCTGAGAAGTAGAAGCATGCACATGTACTCAGTACTTGGTTTGGGCCCCTTTTGCATCAATTACTGCTTCAATGCGGTGTGGCATGGATGCCATCAGCCTGTGGCACTGCTGAGGTGTTATGGAAGACCAGGAAGCTTCAATAGCAGCCTTCAGCTCTTCTGCATTGCTCGGTCTGATATCTCTCATCTTTCTCTTGGCAATGCCCCATAGATTCTCTATGGGGTTCAGGTCAGGCGAGTTTGCTGGCCGATCAAGCACAGTAATCCCATGGGCATTGAACCAGGTTTCGGTACTTTTGGCAGTGTGGGCAGGTGACAAAGTCCTGCTGGAAAATGAAATCAGCTTCCCCATAAAGCTCGTCTGCGGAAGGAAGCATGAAGTGCTCCAAAATCTCCTGGTAGATGGCTGCGTTGACCCTGGACTTAGTGAAGCACAGTAGACCAACACCAGCTGATGACATGGCTCCCCAAATCAGCACAGACTGTGGAAACTTCACATTGGACTTCAAGCATCTGGCATTGTGTGCCTCCCCATTCTTCCTCCAGACTCTGGGTCCTTGGTTTCCAAATGAGATGCAAAAGCTGCTCTCGTCAGAAAAGAGATTTGGGGAGCCATGCCATCAGCTGGTATGGCCTCGCCTGATAATTATGTCAAGGAGAAATAGATCGGGGTGCATTTGCATTCTGGCGGCACCTTGCCCCCAAGCCAACCAGTGACCTTCATGTTCATATTAAATAGCCTTGGAGATAAAATCATGTCCTGCAGCCAGGGCCGAGCTGCCTATGAGGTGGCGGCAGCTTCCAAAGACATCTCACAATCGGTACACTCTGTGAGATCTCGCTGGAACCCACCATTATCGTCACAGCTTTGTAGGCGCTGCCATGCACCCCAGTGGCGGCAGGGTGGGGTCGCAGCTTCCCTTTTTGCCTCAGGTGGCAAAACACAACACATTGCCCCTGCCTCTGACACCAGGGGGCTGAAAAGCACTCTCCAGATGCTACTTTCTGGACACGGTCTCATAGGTGGCATTGGAACCACTGTAGTACAGTGCCCCCAATTCCCATTTCCTTGGAGCCAGTCCAGGAAGACGCCATGGTCGATGGATGGTATCAAATTCCAAGAAGAGATCCAGAAGCAGTAGCAGCAAGGTCTCACCCTTCCTGTCCCACTCTCTGCAAAGGCCATCCATCAGGGTGACCAAGCCTGACACAGTCCTGCAGCCAGGCCTGAACCCAAATTGGAATGGGTCAAACTAATCTGTGTCATGGACTGGTAGTCTAAGGGGTCCAGAGTTGGTTTCTTTGGGAACTTTTGCACCACACCCACAGGTAATGAAGTGTTTAACTACACTGTGGACCCAACCAAGTCAGCCCACCTCTGCTAGATTTAATAAGCCAGGAAAGGTGGCCCTCACCTGATAATTATGTTAGGGAGAAATAGAGGGCATGTGGCTAAATGCTGCCAGCACCGTGCCCACAGCAGCGGATTGCGCAAGCGGAACCTGATCCCACTACACATTCTCAACAGTGGCACTCGCTACTTCAGCTGGAGCTGCCACAAGTGCAGAATCAAGATCACTGTGAAGTCAAAAGACCCCACAAAAGGTCCTTATTTCCTTCTTCTACCAGTAGTTTTAAACGTTTGTTTCTACATTTAGTCGCTTCCAGTTGCTTTTGTGAAAAAGGCAACAAATCCCCATTGAGGTCTCTCGGCCAACCTATCTCACAGGGCTGTCGTGCGTACCACGGGTGGGAGGAGGGTGCATGCAGTGGCGTAGCGTGGGTTGTCAGCACCCGGGGCAAGGCAAGTAATTTGCGCCCCCTAACCCATGGATTTGTGCCCCCTAACCCGTGGATTTGCCCTAACCCCAGATGTTGCGCCCGGTGCGGCTGGCCCCCCTGCACCCCCCACGCTACGCCACTGGGTGCATGCCAATCGGAGTGGCTTGGTGGAAAGGAATATAAATAAACAGGCAAAGGAGTGGGGCGACACGGTCTCTTTCGCGGTGTGGTGGGTCACACCGCCTGAAGGGTCCCCCAGTGCCAGCGCTCCTCCGTGGCAGCTGGTCAAGACATGGCAACCGGGGAAACCCACCCACGCCAGCCGCTGCAATGGGGGCCTTACGCGTCTGGCCTTATGGACGCCCCGCACTGGGATCGAGCGAAGAGACCAAGCAATCCCGCCCCCGCCGTGATCAATAAAGCAGGTGGTTCAGCTCTGAGCGCGCGCGCCCCCGCCCCGGGTCTGTGCGCGTGCGCCTGGACGGGCGCTTTGTGCGCTGCCCCCGGGAAAGGCGACGGCCACGTGACGCAAGCCGAGCTAAGCGCTCCTCTCCATCCCAAGGTGCCTCCAGCCTCGGCGCCTGTTCTTCTGCCTTTTCCCTCCCTCCCTGGCCCCGGGCACGGGAGTCGTCTGAAGCGAGGCGGGGCCTGCAGATAGATACCCAGAGACAGAGATTTAAATTTCATTCTCAGCAAGAACAGCAGCAGTAGCGGCAGCAGCAGCAGCAGCCGCCCCGGCGCACAGCGACAGACGCGCGCGCGCCCCGACTAGTCCCGTCGGCTCCTCTGCCGCCGCCGCCGCCGCTGCTCGCTTGCTCGCTTGCCCTGCCTGCCTGCCTGCCAGCCAGCCAGCCAGCCAGCCAACCAGCCATGGGCCACTCCGCCGCCGGGGAGCCGGGCCTCATCGCCAACGTGGTGAACGACACCTTGGAGTTCTACCGCTGGACCTGGACCATCCGAGGTAACCGAGCCCGTGTGCGCGCCCACCCGCCGGCCGGCCGGCCAAGCGACGCGCTGCCAAGCCTTTGTTAAGCTCCCCGCAGCCTCCTTCTCCGCAGCCGCGCTCCCTGCAGGCCCCTTATCCCAGGCCAAGTTGCATCCTCTTAGCGCGCCTGGCTGGCCACAAGGCACCTGCCGCCGCTGCCGCCTCCTCCTCCGCCCTTCCTTGCTGCTGCTGCCGCCGCCCTCAGCTCCATCCCCGTCTCCCTCCACCCCCTTCCCTCGTCCAGGCCGCAAAGAGACGGCCAGGCAGCAGCAGCCCCCACCCCCCGCGCCCCGTCTCCAATTCCTCGCCTGCTGTCACTGTCACACAGCGGTCAAAATGGCTCCGTGGCTTCTGGGAAAGCGGGTCTGGGAAGGAAGGTTGCGACGCGGATCTGGTTCTGGCTTTAGATGGGGCCTGTTTGAAGCGCTCTTCCCCCCCCCCCACCCCCAGCAGCCCATAGCTCTGAAAGTGGATGTTTTCGGTGTGGTCTTTCTTCTTTTTCTTTTCACTTCACCGTCATTCCCCTTAGGGGGACCGCCGGCTAGAAGTGTAGCAGGAGGAGCAGGCTCCGTTTAAGTTTGCTGCATAAGGTTTTCTTCCAGCAGCTCCCACGCAGCTGCCTGAATATTGGGTGGAAACTGCAAATATGCATACATATACATACAGATACAGGTACTGTATATATTAAATATAAACAGATTCCCCAACCCATTGTGACTGATTCCAAATCCTTTGTACTGGAGACTTGGCTGCGATGGTAACCATGTTAATTGCTGGTCAGTGTGTTCCATCACTGCATAGCGGAAAGCAAACTGGGAACATGCCAATCACGTTGCTGCTCTTGGGCCCAGGCCCACAATGAGAAATGGAGATGTTTGCAAAGTGTCTCCCCTCCCTCCCATTGTTACAGGGTTTGCTTTGGGAACATGTGGAGGACACACTGGGAAAACAGCCCTGGGGTCATTTGCCATCATCACACATTAGATATTAGGCTTAAGGCAGATCCCATTTTGGTAAGATAGACTTGTTTGCATTGTAATCTGAATGTTATAGCAGAGTTTCGTGAGATGGCTATGTGTGGTTTATTTAATTTAAATGAAATGGAGTTCAAGGCCTGGTCTCACATTTCATTTTATAAGGTGTAGGCTCTCCCCTCCCCTTCCCCTTCCCCTCCCCATTTTTGAGATGAGCTGTTATTGCAGAATTGATGCTGGATAGATCAATATCCATCAAGTAGGATCAGTAATAAAATAGCTACAGCTGGAATTTGGAAGAAGGCCAAAGAGTCAGAAAGGTACTGTGCAATCCTGTGCATGTTTGCTTAGAAGTCAGTCCCACTTAGGTCAGTAAGATTTACTCCCAGGTAAATGGGCATAGGATTGCAGTCTTCAAGTTGCTTCACATATGCAGTGGCAAGGACGTTGGTCAGTATTTGTCAGTATTTGTACATACAATTCTGGCTTATGAAGGGCATACCTGAACAACACACTAAACAATATTTTTTAATACATACTCATTAAAGGGCAGAGATGCACTTAATGAATGTGTATGACTGCATTTATCTTAAAGAAGGCAGGACTGTCTTTTATGTACACGTTTTACTCTTAAGTATCACTTCTGCACAGCTGTAAAGATTGCCAGGTACTTATTGAATGCCAAGATGGCTCTACAATGAACCTATGATGGATTTCACTGCTATGGAATCCAAGTGGCCTTGGTTATAGATCCCAGTAACTCATTATTGCATGAGCTGCCTTCATTCCTATTCCCATCCCTTTCTGCCATCTGTCGGATTGTAAATTAATCTTACGTTTTCAGTTGAGACAGCACATTCTTGCTTGATCTGCATTATTGCACTTCATCTCCTGATCTCACTTTCAGACATACTTCAGATATATTAACCAACATCTGCATTTCCCCAAAATGTAAAAGATTAAGTAAAATGTATGTTGTATGTTTTCAATGAGCCATTTTCATTCCTACAGTGCTTTTATATGATTCTCATTTAACATAAAAGCAAACTGTTGTGCTAGTCATCTCTAAGAAACTTTTACAGACAAGGTTTTAATAGCAAAGTAGTTTTATGGTCCTAATTAATAACTACTTTGCCTCTGAATTGCTAGAGTTTACATTGCACAAATCAGCAACAGCCAAAATATCAGCTCTTATAGAAGAAGGTAGACTATTAGTGTGGAAGAATTTGGCAGCAAACCAGAATGCTATGATATGGACTCACTCTGCTGTCTTCCTCTCTTTGAGGGAATACTAATTATCATGCTGAGAAAATAGTGCCTAACCTATCTTGCTTAGTCAACTGTTTGAGATTGCCATACATAGGTGTCAATTGTATGGCATAATCTGAGATGCCTCTGTGACAAAAAAACACACACACCCCAGTTAAAAATGTTAAAGTAGGGCATTTTAGTTTATTCATTTTTTGGCTCTTTGGAGAACCATGAGATTGTGGGGACATGGTGTAGCTGTGGGTGAGGAACTATATGAGATTTCAGCTGCTTTCCTAAACATACTGGCCTCCAAATCCATCAAAATTACTTGTAAGCAAGCTCTGAGAGTGTGCTCTTGCAGCCCTTATCAGCGCATGCAGTTTTTTAGAATCAAAATAATATTTGTATCCTGATGTCACAGTACTGTAGGAGGAGTCCTCCAAGCACTGCGGCTGCATCTCTCCATTCATTTAATTGGTTCTTGAAGAAGCCACACCCCAACGCTGTTTGAAATAAATGCAGTTCTGTAGCAGCACTGCTAGGGCAGATTGATTTCTCTTTCACCAAATAACATTATTACAGTGCAATGTGCTGGATCATTTGGTTATACAGCACCAACGTTTTTAAATTTATAACAGTACAGCTATTTATTTACTACAGGGGTGGGTAGCTTGTGCTCCTCCAGATGTTTTTGGACATCAGTTCCCATCATCCCTGACTACTGGCCATGCTGCTAGGACTGATGGGAGTTGGAGTCCCAACATCTGGGTGGCTAATGCCCCCCCCCCATACTTAATGGCTGAGGCCAACATAGATCTGTGGGCTTCCAGCATGCATTTAACTACCACCCAGTGTTAACTGTTACCTTCCTTTTCCGAAGCTTTATTTTAGAACAAGGATGGAGCAAATTTTGTCTCGGTTGGTAGAGCATGAGACTCTTAATCTCAGGGTCACGCGTTCAAGCCCCACAATGGGCGAAGGATTCCTGCATTGCAGCAGGTTGGACTAGATAACCTTTGTAGTCCCTTCCAACTCTACAATTCTGTGATATGATTATATGATATAACTCTGTGTAACATCTGTGTCACTGTCTATGCTATTGCGAGAGTCAGGAAAGCTTGAGGTGTTGGATGATGCTTTCAATGGGATGGGCACTTCTTTACTCTTTACTCCATATTTTCCTGGCCACATTCTCATGCTTGTTGTAATATTTCCTGAATACTAATCCCTGATGCATGCAAATACTGGTGTTTGTTGTTTCAAAAATGTGGGTTTGTCTATCTGATTGTAGAGCTCCTTGATAATAGCAGTGATGCTACTCAACAGATGAATCAGATCATCTGTTGCTCCGCAGCATCATTTCTCAATCCACATCATCTTGAAATTATACCATGCTGTGGCCTTGCCCAACAGTCATATTGTAAAGGCTTTTGCCATGTGTTAATATTGCTCAATGAATAAGACATTTCACCATGTTGGAAACATCACTACACAGCAACATTGCACAAGGAATGAATAATTTTTTTCCCCCTCAGACACCTACACAGTTTCCCTTCATTGTTCTCAGCATTCTCATATTTCTAAAATCAGATTCCTAAATACTTTTTATTGTTCTTTCGCAACTCTAATTAGGTCCCTCAAGGCCAACTCATGCAACTGTATCACTCATACAATGTGATAATTTTCTGGAAGTTGCTTTCTGGAAGAGATTTCATCAATCACAGAGTATAGCATGAATTTCTGTCACAAGTTGACTGCTCAGAAATTGCATCATGGTAAAGCGGAATGTGAATTAGCTGCTTTAATGTTCAAAAATTGTTCGCTGTGTTTCTAATTTCTTGCTTTCTATAAGTTGAGAACCTGCAGGATGTAAGAGATAAGGAAGAATGTTGGGTGAAATTGTGTGTGTGTGTTTATAAATTAGAAATTGAGCAGCTATTGCTTGACTAGGAGGTTAATATAAATCTGAAGTCTTCTGAAGGATTATTAGTCATACTGATATATACCAAGTTATTATTATCAATGTTATACAGCATCTTTATGGCTTTAGTTCCATGTGATCACTTTATTTAAAAAAGGCATTAGTCCTGAAAAGGCAGATTTCTGACTAGCAGTTCTGAATAAGTGGTAAAATGACCCAATATATTCAATGAACATAGCTTTATACTAAATATATATGCACCCAGTTATTAAGCAATATGAAAAGTAGTGCTGGAAGAAAATATAAGAATTCTCAGCCATTATTCCAACTAAGGAGAGCCCTTGTCCAAGGATACCTTTTGCCTCTTGTTTTTTGTTTTTGTTTTTAAAACAAAACAAAAAACAAGTTGTAGACTCCTCACTTCAAAGCACTTGAGCATGATCATAAGTTAATAATATTACTGGGAGAAGTGAACTTCTAAAACCATAAACTCAAACTACAAGTTAATGTGCACACAGAACTCTCTCCAGAACATTTTCCATTCATTTCATTGGAAGGACCAAATCCACACATGCATACCTTCTGTGTATGGATCAGGTGCCTTCATTGAAATCTGTGGGGTGGTCCATATGGGCAAGAGATCAATGTGCAAATCTGAGCGCAGTGATCAAACGGGAGAGCACTTCCAGGTGTGTACAGTATGAATAGCTTTGCGCAACATCAGATGCTCAGCGTCTTGATGCTGAGCGTCCCTTGATGCTCAGAAGCAGATTTGGGCTTGTGTGTGAAGGGTTGCCAAGTAAAGAGAAAACCTCATGTTTACAGATTAC